TTAGTTATGGGAGTAATTATCTCCCTAATTAAAATGTGACTTATTCCCAAAGAAAGAGGGAGTATTCTGGGTTTTTTGCTCCTATAAATAGCAGACCCCCCAGACCCTCTAAACACACCTTCAGAGAGCAGAAACACGAGATAGAGAGTGAGTTCATAGAGCTCTGGTTTTCGCACAAAACCGATGAGCAACCAAATTGGAGTGGTTGTTTTATCCTGAAGGCGACCGGCTGATAGTCTGTCGTGCGCAACGAAGGCAGTGCGGCGAACGTCTTAAAGAGAGCGACCTAGTCCGCGACTCAGCCAGATCGGTAACCCTAAATTTTTTGTTTGGTTACAAGTGAGGGAGATGACTCCTTATATGGGTCTCTCCTCATACAATGCATCAATACCCCTCATAATGTCCCTCTACATCAATACACCCCATTAAGTCCCCCCATTATGCACTCTATAAATGTCACCCATTATGTGACTCATAAGTGCACCATTAAGCTCTCTATTAAGATGGAGAATCCTAGGAGCATCTCTATGCTACTAGTTTTCCATGCATGCCACATGTTCAGCCGCCATGTTGTCACCTTGTTGGCGCCATGTCATCTTCCACATGTGACATCCTCCCCCACATATGCTCGCGATGCCCTCGTCGCGTCCTCTTGATGGAATGCCTCGATCAAGTCCTTGTTCTTCCAAAGCGTGAGCTCTTTCTCCCAAGTTGCTTCACTCTCCGGAAGGTTGCGCCACTTGACCAAGTACTCAACAAAGCTTAGATGTACGCCACGACGAGGAATGACACGACACGCCATGATTTCTTCAACTTCATGGTCGTGTGTCTTGGTGATGAATGTTGGTGCGCGCTGCGACTCTCTTCGCTGCTCGTCCTCCTTGTCTTCGTTGAAAGCCTTGAGTTGGCTCACATGAAAGACTGCATGGATCTCCAAATGCGACGGCACCTCCACCTTATACGCCACCTTGCCAATCCTCTTCACGATGGGGAATGGCCCTTCATAGCGGCGAAGCAGTCCCTTGTGCACGTTCTTGAGATGCTTGAAGCGATGAGGGTAGAACTTGACCATCACCATGTCTCCCTCTTCAAAATCCAAGTGCCGCCTCTTCTTGTACGCCCATTTCTTCATCTTCTTGCTAGCGCGGGCTAAGTAAGACTTGGCCATCTCCATCTTCTCGTGCCGGCCTTTAGCGAACTTGTAGGCTGCCGGACTGTTGCCTCTATACCCCGTTGCAACGTCGTAGGTGTCAAAGGTTGCTGCCCCGTCGCCAACTCAAATGGACTCGTGTTGGTCGACTCGCTACGGTGCAAGTTGTAGGAGAACTGTGCCGTGTCCATCAACTTCATCCAATCTCGTTGGTTTGCACTCACGCAGTGCCGCAAATACACCTCCAACAAGGCATTCACCCGCTCCGTCTGTCTGTCGCTTTGAGGATGAAATGCCTTCGAGAAGTTCAAGTTTGAGCCCATGATCATGAACAACTCTCGCCAAAATCTGCCCGTGAAGCGCCCATCCCTGTCGCTCACAATGTTGCTAGGAATGCCCCAATACTTGACCACGTTCTTGAAGAATAGACGTGTCGCATCCTCTGCCGTCAAGTCTTTTGGCCTAGGAATGAACACTACATACTTCGAAAACCTGTCCACCACAACCATGATGCAACCACATCCATTGACTTTGGGAAGTCCGATGATGAAGTCCATGCTTACACTCTCCCATGGTCGTTGAGGCGTGGGCAAGGGCTCTAGCAAGCCTGCCGGGCTTCTCTGCTCCATCTTGTCTTGTTGGCACACAAGACAAGTCTTCACATACATCTCCACGTCGTCTCTCATACGCGGCCAGAAGTATGCTTCTTCGATGAGCGCTTGCGTTCTCTCGATGCCGGGATGGCCCGCCCACTTGGAATCATGGCACTCCTTCATGATCTCCTTCCTCAAGCTGGCCCATCTTGGCACGAACACCCGCTCTCCCTTGGTCATGATGAGCCCATCCTTTGTAACATCCCGAACCTTTTCCCGACAAGATATTGTCCGCTTAGAGGCCCAAAGCGGACAATATCTTGTCGGGAAAAGGTTTGGGATGTTACAAGTGGTATCAGATCCTCTCCGCGTCCCTCTTGAACGATGGTGGGGCAAACCTCAACGAGGGCGTTGAGTCCCGAGGGGGGTGTATGTAACACCTTAGACGAATCCCACATCGACAAAGCACGGGAGAGATCCTTGGTTCATAAGTAAGAAACCGGCCTTAACTGACAAGACGCGTTTTGGGGTGTAATGGAAGAGTTCTTGTGAGAACTCCGAAGTTAAACGTGCTCAGTGTGGAGTATAGCAAGGATGGGTGACCTTATGGGAAGTCACCCTGAATTGCACCCCAAGTCGAAATCCGTGCGGGTGGAGAGGCCCAAAGCGGACAGTATCTTGTCGGGAAAAGGTTCGGGATGTTACATCCTTCATCCAAAACCGCCGAGTTTTACCTTGCTCGATTTACTCCGCTACGGTTTTGGCGAAGGGGTCATGGCCAAGGCCTTCGACGATCCGCTCCTTCAAAGGAAACATGTGCTAGCTGATGCTTGCGGCTGCACTCTTGAGGCTAAGAGCATCGGCAACGGAATTCGCCTTGCCTGGATTGTACTCCATGATGAAGTCAAACTCGGCCAAAAAGTCTTGCCACCTCGCTTGCTTAGGGGTGAGCTTCTTCTGCGTCAGAAAGTAGCTCGTTGCCACGTTGTCCGTCTTCACTACGAACTTTGACCCTAACAAGTAGTGCCTCCATGTGCGCACCACGGCTGTCATCTCCTTCTCTTGAACGGTGTATCGCCTCTCCGTCTCGCTAAGCTTCCGACTCTCGAAGGCAATGGGATGCCCATCTTGCATCAACACGCCCCCCAATTGCGAAGTCGGATGCATCGGTCTGCACTTCGTAGGCCAACGTCGGGTTGGGGAGCACGAGCACGGGCTCCTTCATCACCGCTGCCTTCAAGGCCTTGAATGCTTATTGGCACCTTTCCGAACAATCCCACGCCTTGTTCTTCTTCAAGAGATCCGTCAAGAGTGCTGCAATGTTAGAGTAGTCCTTGATAAACCTCCGATAGTAGTTGGCAAGGCCAAGGAATGACCGCAACTCTGGCACCTTCGTCGGCGGCTCCCATTCTTGGATTGCCTGCACCTTCGCCCCATCCATCTTCAACTTGCCTCCACCAATGATGTGCCCTAAGAATGGAACCTCCGTGGTGGCAAATGTGCACTTCTCCCTCTTGACGTACAACTCGTTGTCGCGAAGGAATTGGAAGACTTGGCGTAGATGCTCGGCATGCTCATCGAGTGTTTTGCTATACACGACGATGTCATCCAAGTAGACCACGACAAACCGGTCCAAGAATGGCTCGAACACTTGATTCATCAAAGTGCAAAATGTGGCTGGTGCGTTGGTGAGACCGAATGACATCACAAGAAACTCGTAAGAGCCATACCTCGTCACACAAGCCGTCTTTGGCTCGTCGCCCTCTGCTATCCGCACTTGATAGTATCCCGAGCGAAGATCTAGCTTGGTGAACCACATCGCATCCCCAAGCTGGTCGAACAAGTCGGCAATGTTGGGAATCGACCATTTGTTCTTCACCGTCAACTTGTTGATGGCTCTATAGTCGATGCACATGCGCAACAACCTTTCCTTCTTCTTTTGGAACAACACCGGTGCTACAAAAGGTGACTTCGATGGCCGCATGTAGCCTGCGTCCACCAAGTCCTTAAACTGCCTCCACAATTCTTCTAACTCCGGTGGCGACATGTAGCATGGTGCTCGCGAAGGGGGCTTTGCTCCTGGCTCCAACTCGATCTTGTGGTCCACCTCTCTTCTTGGTGGCAGCTTCTTGGGCAAATCCGATGACATCACGTCATCGAACTCTTCGAGGATTCCTTCGATGATGGGAGTTGTGATTCCCATTGAGCCTCCTTCTTCCTCCATTTTCAAGGACACAAGAAAGGTTGGTTCATTCTTCTTGAACCCCTTCAATACCTGCATAGCGGATAGAGCACCATGGGGGCCATCTTCTCTCAAGAGATGGACCGCATGGAACTCCCCTTCCTTCTCTAAGCACATCGTGTTGGAGTTGGGCTTCAAGAGTACTCCCTCCTTGTCGAGGATGACTGGGTGATCGTCCATGGTGACGACGGAAAAGTCGATGAGGCCTTTCCACTCGCCGAGCTTTACTGGCACGTTGTGAGCAACTCCATGGATCGGGATGGACTCCGAGTTGATCTGCTTGAGCCTCCCTTGCCCCTTCTCGTAGGCAATACCCAGCCGGTTTGCCTCCTCGATGCGAAGGAAGTTATCCGTGGCACCGGTATCCACCAAGGCTTTTGACTCGCCTTGCATGAATTGCGCCAGCACATAGCACTTCCCACGCTTACTCTCCTTGACGTCGGTCTTCACCACGCCAAGCTTGCGGATTGAGCCAATCTTGGCCTCCGCCGCCTTGGGCTCCTCATCTTGAGCTTCCATGGCCGCCAATCTCGCCTTCCTTGGGCAATCCCACACTCGATGTGGTCCGTCGCAAAGGAAACAAGATACGGGCTTTGGTTCGTACTTACCCCCTTTGCTCGTACCACCTTGGTGTTGTGGAGTGCGAGAACCCTCCTTGAAAGGATTCTGCTGTTCCCCACCCTTGTTGGGCTTCGAACTCTTTTCTTTGCCGCTACTCTCTTGCCTTTTGTACTCAACAAAAGACTTCGCCGTGGCCATGGCAGTTGCAAGGTCTTGCACTCCTCGACGTTGCATCTCCATCTTGGCCCATGGTTGCAACTAGGGCTGTTAATCGGTTCGGTTGCGGTTAAATAGAACCGACGGGTCGGTTAGCCGACACCTATTAGAGGTCAAAACAGCCAACCGCAACCGATTGCCCAATCGGTTAGTCGAAACCGCTAACCGTGGATGTCGGTTCGGTTGGTCGGTTAACTATCAACCAAAAATTAATTGAAAAGAAAAATAAAAATTCCAAAAAAATATAAAACATTAATTCCAACCCTCTAGCATTCTCGATCCTTCTCCCCATCTCATTCTCTGTTACCCTATCCTCTCTCCAAAAGAAAACCCCTCTCTTTAACCTCTCCATTTCTATCGCAAGCTCTCTCTGCCACCCTCTACCCTCACCAAAATTCCAAGAAAATCATCAATTCCCGTCGACTTCTTCCTCCGCTCTGAATCCTTCCATCTATCTTCGCTGGTCTACCTTCTCTTCTTTGCCTTGGAGCAAAACCAAAAGTGGCCGGATCTTGACATCATCGCTTTCTTATCGGCAGAGGCGACAATTTCGGTAGGGGTCCATCGGCGGAGGACATGCATGGTGCTCGGCTAATTGATCTCGACGCCGGAGAGGATTTGATTGTCCTGCTGGCAAAGCCCCTTTGCTCCACTCTCATCTCCACCGCCGCCAGATTAGATGGGGGAAGAAGGCGGAGCAGCGTTGGTCAGCGGAAGGATGGCGACGTGAAGAAGGCCGGGAGCGGGAGGATGGCGCTGCGACGAGCTTGACGGCGAGGCTAGGGTTCAGCCGTTCAGAAATGGGGAGGCGGAGGAGCGGCGTCTGAGATTCTTTCTGATATCGCCTCGCCTCCTTCGTCTTTGATTTGGGATTTAGAATTAGGTCAGGGGAGGCGGAGCACTGGGTGGCCGAGAAGAGAAGAGGTCGCCCAAAGAGAAACGACACCGAATTGACTGATTGGGTCGGTTTTGGCGGTTAGTATGTTTGGTTGCGGTTTTTAACCCCTAACCGCTACATTCTGAACCAAGCCGGAAACAGGCAACCGCAAACCGCAACCCATTCTCGGTTTTCGGTTGGCCATCAAACCGACGGTTTCGGTTCGGTTGACGGGTTAACCGAAAAACCGGAGACCGATTAACAGCCCTAGTTGCAGCCCATCAAGAAAGTCGTGCATGGCCTCCTTGTCCGTGATGTCCGGGATCTCTAGAAGCAGCTCCGAGAATTCTTTCACATATTCTCGAACTACACCCCTCTGGGTGAGTCTTCTCAACTTCGAACGGGCTTCAAACTCCACGTTCTCTGGGTAGAACTGCTTCTTGATTTCTCTCTTGAAATCTTCCCACCTTACCATCACACAAGTACCTCTTTCGACGTCCGCTTCACGTCGCCTCCACCACACCATTGCAACATCAACCAAGTATAGTGGAGCGGTTCGAAGTTTTACCTCATCCTCTTGGATTCCATATGCCTTGAAGTACTTCTCAAGACTCCAAAGGAAGTTCTCTAACTCCCTCGCGTTCCTTGAACCTCCGAAGCTCTTCGGTCTTGGAACATCAACACGTGGGACGGATTGCACCGGGGCTGGTCCGCTAGCCATGGATCTCTTCACGAGAGTGACCTCACTCTTAAGATCTGCAATCTCCTCCGTCACGCCGACCAGCTCAGCCTGGACATGCTCTTTCACAACTTCAATGGCGTTGTTCAAGGATGCGTTGATGGTGTTGGTGATGAGGGCCACAAGCTCTTCCCGTATGCCATCATGACCAATCTCCAAGCTCGACAAACGAGCATTCATACCTTGAACATCACCTTGGACTTGGGCGAAGTTAGCTCCCAAATCCTCGATGGCGGTGACATCTTCGGAAAGCTTCACCTCCATCCTCGAGACTCGCCTCTCTAAAGACTTGAGAGGATCACGAGTGCTCGACGTGCCTTTTGACCTCCCGCCTGGGGTAGGCTCTCTGCCACGCTGCTTCTCATTGTCGTCATTGACTTCTGATCCCGACATTTTTGGTGAGGCTCTTCCTTTTCGTCTGGCTATTGCTTCTACTTTGCTAGCACAAAGCCGAACGGGCTCTGATACCACTTGTCACAACCTTACTCTCGATCGTGCGGCCCTAGCTCTCAATTCCGTTAGAGCGCTAGGCAGCCTTTCTCTCAACTCACTTGCAAGCAAAGAACAAGAACAAAGACATAGGAAATGGGAGAACTCTCTAGTGTGTATTACTCTAAAAAAATTATGGAATGAGTTACAAGTGAGGGAGATGGCTCCTTATATAGGCATCTCCTCATACAAGGCATCAATGCCCCTCATAATGTCCCTCTAAATCAATACACCCCATTAAGTCCCCCCATTATGCACTCTATAAATGTCACCCATTATGTGACTCATAAGTGTACCATTAAGCTCTCTATTAAGATGGAGAATCCTAGGAGCATCTCTATGCTACTAGTCTTCCATGCATGCCACATGTGCAGCCGCCATGTTGTCACCTTGTTGGCGCCATGTCATCTGCCACATGTGACAACCACCGGCGAGGAGTTCAAGCCCTCCTACTATCGCAGTAAATCACAGCAAGAGCGATCTCGAAGAATCCCGACCAGGCGGAGCCGAGGGCACGCTCGAGAACAACAGCAGCAGCGATACACTGTCGAAGGGCTTATCCACGATTCTCTCGAATGTGATAAGGGACTTCGATTCGCAAGCTCGGACCACGCTCAGAAGCTAAGACCAGCTTAATTCCTCTCTCGATCGTCTCACCGGAGAGCTCGATCGGTTGTTGGAAGATGCGTCATTGTCGTTCATAATGCATCACGCGACGAAGATTTCCGCCGTCCGAAAGAGAGTTTTGTCCCTGAACTCTCTGCTCAGAGCCATACAGCGGCGCATTGATAACATGGATCGCGCGCTGTCTATGGGGACGCAGCAAGATCGCGTTCGTTGAACAAGAACTCTGTTCCCAAAACCTAGGGAGTAGAGAAGACGGAAGAGCATGGCGGACAAAATTAAAGGGGGAGAAGAAGTGGTTGTGGCAGCAGATGTTAAAGCCACCGACAAGGAGAAATCATCATTCACAGGCTACGCGTTGAGCCCAGCAGCCCGTTTGTTCCACTCGCCCAAGTTCAACTATTACATCGTCGCCATCATGGGCTGCAAGACCAAGATCAACCCCCCCCCCCCCCCCCCGTCGTAAAGCTCGGACTGGAGCACACGTTGATCAAACATCCTCGTTTCTTCAGCAAACCGCGTGTTTTGAGCAAATATCTTGAAGCTTGAGAAAAGAAGATTGGGAATTAGTCGTTATCCCGAATAATTAAATCGGGGAGAGGAAGGGCCTGCCGAAAGGTCCTGTTTGGAGAAAAGCACACGCAAGGGCTTATTAGGGAAGTTCGATCGGCCAGCTTAGTGGATTCCTATCCACCAGAATCACCAATTTCACTACTGCCATATGGAGAAATTGAGGCGGGCATGCTAAGCTTTTGCTCCTTTATGAGACGCAAAGAGGGTATACCACGTTGATTCTCATAAGTTATCCACTTCTTGAAAAGAGGTAATAACTAAACTTTTCTCAAGATATATTATAATATATCTCATCGGATTTCATGCATAAAATCGAGAATCCCTATGAATTTTAGACAAGAAAAATAGATTTTATGCATGATAATGGTGACATTGAGATATGCTTTGCTCAGTGATTAGAATACAAGTTTGTGTGCATATTGAGGAGTAGAGTAATTTTACTACATGAATGCATACTTTGAAGCATATATGAGTTTGTAATTTGTATGCCAGTGGAATGGGTTGTATACCCATATTTATTTTGGGAGAAGTACCGTCTAAAGGTTCAAGAATCAGAATAGCAATTTGAACCAAATCCACACCAATTAGAATGGTACCCATCGTGGCAACCATAAGATTGTCACACAATTCTCTAAGAATGACGCTATGTTTCTCAATTAAATTTGAGAAAAACTAGGTCATATGACACGAAAGTGTAGGAACAAGTATAACACTGGTTCTAGTGTTAACTTGATTGAAGAGAAAGATTGATTGCTGTGAAAATTGACAAAAGAGCAGAGATTAACCATGTTGGTAACTCTGAAGAATGGTGGTTAAATACTGGTATCTGAAAGCATACTAAGACATATGCTATTAAGAAAGTGTTGTTGAGTATTGCTCACTCCACTATTTGATCATGGTCACGAGAGTATGCATATGATGATAAAGTTAGAGTGTTAAATTCTTATGGGTCTTGCATGCACGTCTTTGACGTATATCTTGAGGAATTGAATAGCTAGGGTCACATTCCCATAATGGTTGTGATAAATGTGATTTCCATAGGTAAGATAAATGACACATAAATATGTGTTTAGAGAATTAGAAACTTTAGATCTGATTAAATTTTATGTGTAAACATGATGAGATGCTTACTTAAACTGGCTTGAAATGCTTTATCGCATTATTATTGATTGCCCTGGTTATTGTTGGCTGGTGTTAGAATTAAAGAATCAGTGCAATATAGTTATGAGTAAGCATATGTTGAGGAATCCATTGGTGCCAATAGCATTCCATTTAAATCGAGAAATAGTGGGGGTGATATCTTGCCTGCTATTAGAAATAATGGATAACTAGTGGGGGTGATGACTCTGGGTATGAACTCAGAAGAGACAAATGAACCATAAATCACGAAAAGATTTTGGTTATGAGTTTGTTATTTACACCCTAAGAAAGAAAGACCCTACAAGTCTGCTAGAAGTTCGAACTTCCATAAAGATGCAGATTTGAGGGTAAATCCATTATTAACGAAATGGAATTATTAGAGTCTAATAAGACTAAGAATCTTGTAGATTTACCTCTTGGCTATAAAGCCTTGGGTAATATATCGATAGAATCGAACAGGATTCGACATTTTTAAGAGTTGCCTTCTGGAAATAAATCCATAGGTAATAAATGGATTCTTAAAAGAAAAACTGAAACCTGATGGTTTAGTTTATGAGTATACGGATCGCTTAATAGCTAAAGATTTAAGCGAAGAGGAAAAATTGTAGATTTTTTTTATATCTACTCACCAATATGTAGTGTAACATCCATGTATGATATGATTGCTCTTGATGTGCATTAGATGGATGTTAAACCTATTTTTGTGAATGGTAATTTAGATAGAGAAATGAGAAATCTTCATGGGATAACCTATAGGGTTGTTATTTCTGAACATGCTTATGGAGTCTATAGTTAGAAAAATCATTGTAGGATTTGAAATAGACTCACAAACAGTGGCATGAACAATCGAGTTCTCTCTCGTGGTTTTAAAATGAAAGTGACAAGTGCATTTAGTACAAATTTGAGAATGACACTTGCATTATGAATGACACTTCGATCTTTGGTACAAAGACTCGTGATGTCAATATTATGACAAACCATGTTGTTTGAGAATTATGAAGGTAAAAATATCTAGATGAAGCAAGTGTTATGCTCGGAGATCCAGATTACTAGGACAATGAAAGAGATTTCATCTAGATCAGTTAAACTACAAAGTTAGATCTAGAGGAAATACGAGTTCTACACCTACATAAATGTTTGATGGTGCTAGTATAATTTTTAAGAGCACCAAAGATGGTGTAAGAAAGTAAGAACATACTAACATCGACAGTCTGCGAGAGGCAGCTGATAAACATGAGACCCGACATAGTGGGGGTACTTGGCAGGCTTACTGATTGTCCTAGTATGAAGCATTGAAATGCTATTGAAAGGGGTCATGAGACACCTTAAAAGAACAGAAAAAGCTTGGTATTTGTTATTAAAGGTTTTGCTGTATTGGTAGGGTATAATGATGCGGATTAGAATACCCTATAGAGGACTCCAAGACAACAAGAGGTTGTGTTTTAAACATCGATAGAGAAGCCATGTCTTGGAAGTCTAAGAAGTAAACGATCCTGACCCAATCAACTAAGAAATAAGAAATGATAGAACTAGCAATGGCTAGTAAAGAGGAAAGTTGATTGAGAGGGTCACTACTAGAGATTCCCTTATGGGAAAGACCGATCCCTCCGATAGTTGATTAATTGTGATAGCACCGCAGCTATTGCAATAGAAGGGAACCGGTTTTAGAACGAAAAGAGACGACAAATTCGTCGTAAGCACAGTACTTTAAGAGAACTCCTAACGATAGGAGCAATGAGGGTGGATCATGTAAGATCCTAACAGAATCTAGATGATCCTTTGACGAAAGGATTACCTAAAGAGAAAAGTCCAAAATACCTCGAAAGGTATGAGACTTATGCCTACCGAACCATGGATTACAAGTGATGGTAACCCGACCCGATAGACTGGAGATCCCAAGAAATGGGTTCAATGGGTAATAACAAGTCATTAGTAATATTGAGAAAAGTTCATGCAGAGTGAAACATGAATCCCAAAGCTTTGGAGGTTGAGTTCAATTCTTAATGAGATCTATACTCTATGTGGAGTGAAGTACTTTACTTTGGGGGTACTTTTGATAGATTCACCTATGTGAATGTGGGAGTGGGGCTCCCTATGGAATTTTGGAGGCACAAAGTTGCTAGAGCGTTCACTAAACCGGGATAACGTGCATGGCCATAAACACATGGCCTATGAGAGAATATCACTCAATGAAAAGATCCGGTGTGCTACATTGTCTGAGATAGGGTTCAAGACTACGAGTCACCCTTATGAAATCGGAAGTGTAACCACTACGCTAAGGTTCAAATCTTCGCGATACCTTAGCTTATGCCTTTTACGAGTCACCCTTTTAATTAAGGAGATAATTACCAAAGAAAGAGGGAATATTCTGGGTTTTCTGCTCCTATAAATAGCAGGCCCCCCAGACCCTCTAAACACACCCTCAGAGAGCAGAAACACGAGATAGAGAGTGAGTTCATAGAGCTCTGGTTTTCGCACAAAACCGATGAGCAACCAAATTGGAGTGGCTGTTTTATCCTGGAGGCGACCGGCTGATAGTCTGCCGTGCGCAACGAAGGCAATGCCGCGAACGTCTTAAAGAGAGCGACCTAGTCCGCGACTCAGCCAGATCAGTAACCCTAAATTTTTTGTTCGGTTTCTAACAACAAGTTTATCGATAATACGTAGCCTTAAGGAAGAAGTAGTATAAGTATGGTGCACAATGTGATTGACGGTGAAATGGTTCCCTGAGCGGCAATGGTCGCGATGTGGATGAAATTGGATGAAACGACGTTGGTTGATGTCTAATAAGTAATGAGTCTGTTTGAAATTGCGGGATTTAATTTGTGTGTACTGAACCTCATTTAGTAGATTGGTTATAGAGATTAGAGAGTATGCATGAACTCCATCACCTCGACTCTAGTGAATGGTTTCGATCGTGAGTGAGAAAAACGAAGGCGACAGACATGGCAAGCTGTTCTTGCAACTTGGGAGCCAGATAGCAAAGTTGTAAAAAACCCAACAAAATTGTATAGTTTTTTTAAATAAAAGAAATTGAACATATATCATAAACTAGAGACATTTTTGAAGTAAAGACTGCCCTTTTATATATAAAAATAAAAACGTACGAATAATATAGAGGGATAACAAACTTTCGTTGCAATGCAAACAAAAGGGGAAGGAGGAGCAAGTAGAGGACAAAAGAGCGAGACGGGAAAGGAATAAAAACCAGTTCATATGAGATTAGGGATGGCAATGGGTCGGGTTGGGGCGAGTTTTGTCAAACCCAAACCCATGGGTTTATCCGCCAAAAAAACTCGGGGTAAAACCCGTTGGGTTTGAAAAACTCAAACCCAACCTAACCCGCTGGGTATCCGCGGGTTCATGGGTACCTGTGGGTTTTTCTAGCAATAACAAGTTTCTTTCAAAATAAAAGTTTAACATCAATTTTCTCATACAAATTAATCATACAAAAAACACCAATCTAGAGCATACAAGCAAACCGTAAATGATCAATATAAATTGTTCAAAATTAAAGATAAACATCTATAAACAATAAGATTAATTGAAAGCTTATTCCTCGTCAACTAAGTTTCTTCATTCTTCACTTCATAATATCAACTTCATTCTAAACAATTAGAAAGAAAAAATTATACATGTCTCTACAAACATAAAGAATATTAGTTGTTTAAGGAAGATATATTATTTAGAATATTAAATATACCGGGAAAGTAATTATATGTGTGTGGGCGGGTACCCATGGAGCGGGTTACCTAAATCCAAACCCAACCCAACCCGGTGAATAGTGTAGCGGGTTTAAACCCGAACCCGGCCCAAAACCCGTCAACATGGGTTTTACCCGCGTTGACCGGGTTGGGTCGGATGGGTACCCGTGGGTTCGGGTTTTGTTGTCATCCCTATATGAGATGTATCCGGGAACGGATCAGGTCAGTAACCTTATGGTGAGTAATCATGAGTAATCCGTCATGATATCAGCATCCTTCTCTCTCCTGGAAAGCCTTTAATTTTTCCCTCCTTAATTTTTGACGGACGATTTCTCACTCGTTTTAAGTCGAAATTTAATTTTTTTTACACAGTTAGATCAGATTAATTGTGCTCTTCAAAATTATATCCACTTTGATATATTTTTTCGAACAAAAAAATTGAGTCATTTTTTACCAGTCTATACCATATGGTATTGACTGGTATTGAAATAAGAGCATACATATGGTTTCAAAAGCGTATCATGGTGGTATGAACAAACCAAGAATGTAGAATGGTTGAATTCATGATAGTAGAAATATATTAACTGTCATTTACGACTTTTAACATTGTGTACCATAAGATACCACCTCGTACCAGGGTGGTATTGTGTGGTATTTTTTGGTCCTGTAATCTGTTCACCCAAAAAAATTATAGATCCAATAGATCATGACGAACTCGTCCCTTCTATGCAAACGTTTTCAAAAACGAATTAAAAACGACGAAAATACCATATGGTATGCAGTTGGTACCGAGAGGCCAGAATTTTTTGTTCGAAAAAATATTGAAAATTGATGTCATTTTGTAGAGCACGATGAACTCGTTCCACTTGTGCAAAAAAAAATTAAAATCCGAGTTAAAACGAAAAGATATGAGCCGATTAAGAAAGCTATGGAAAATAAAAATAGTCTTTAATTCTCCATCCTTAGATCTGGATTTTCTAAATAATGTGTGCAGATTTGATTATTGATGGATGCATAACTCATGTTTATGCACTCTATCTTGAGCGGACGTATCCAAGCTGTGGAATGGAGTTGAGAATGGAAGGCTTAAAAATAGACAACAAAACCAAATCGACAACCCCATCACCAGAAAGCACAATAAACAAGAAGCAAAGCTCCGAAAGAGAAGAAAACGGCGCATATAATTAATGTCGTTCATTAACTCCGACCAAGCTAGTTAAGTCGAAACTAATTATTAATTAAGCTCCATCACTTGCTTCCAAACTAGTAGCCAGTGATCATCATCGAGCCTTGTAACCAAACCAGCATATATAGCAACATCCATGGATGGGAAGCGAGCATCATGCAACTGTTTACATATCTATACGTGCGTACATCAGAGCCAAATTGAACAACAACGTAACCAATCCGTGCGTACCGGTGCCACCGGACGATACCCAACCCAACCCAATCCAACCCACCAATTTCACTGCGGTTAAACCTTGCACCCGACCAAAATCCTTCCTTTTTTAGAACCAAAATCCTTCAATGTTTGGATTCTACTCAGTACTCACTCTGACTGTGTTGAATCAAGTTGGAGACTCGTAAATTTGAGGTAATTAGCACAAAAGGTCACAAACCTATATACTTAGTACAAAACGGTCACAAATCATTAATTTTGCACGTTTCAGTAACAAATGTTTGAACGAATAACGAAAATGTCATTCCGTCCAATTCCATCCAAAAACACCGTTAATCATGCTCAGTCAGCATGTCACACCACTTAAAATATTAATAAAAAAAATCAAGAATGAAACCCAGTCACCCCAAGATCAACCCAGCCGGTTGCCGAGTCAAACCCCACATAACCGTTGTCTACCCCACCATCGACAATACCTCCGCCAAAAACATCTCCTCAATCTCCCAAAATCTCCAGTCCGACGAAACTTCCCTTTGCACCCAATGGAAATCCCAAAAATTGCATATTTCCCTTTATTCCCAATCGACATAGACCAAACCTTAGCAGACTCTCGTTTCTTCTGGTGCTTTAGAAACACCCTTGCCAAAAAAGAAGAAGGGTAAACGAAGGATGTTTTAATCTTTATCCCCTGTCCAACCTACCTCTCTCACCTCTCTAAATCCCTTGACATGCGCTGTAATGATAAAGGTCGCCTTCAATCTCGCAGTTCAGCTCCGTGAAGAAAGTTCAACTCCCAACTCTCCAGCGTCATGTCTCACGCGGCCAGGTTTCGGTGCGGCAGCCTGACACGCCACGACGTCCTGATCGACGAATTCCGCCTGAGAATCGACGTCTTGCTCTACCCATGCCCGGACGGCAAGATGAGCAATAGCCCCAATTCCAACTACCCTTTTCAGGTCGGGATCCGTTCCACCCCCGGGAAACCCCATCGCCATCAATTTAACGAACTTTGTTGATATTCACGTTATCAATCCCCTGTGTGATATTTTAGGGAGATGGGAAGACAGTGAGCTTGAAGCCCCCAATTTCAGCGGGAGTATGAGTTTGACATCCAACGCGCATTTAGGGCTGGTCGTGAAGTTATCGTCTGCGCGGAGTCCGGCATCTACACCGTTAACGACGGGGAAGGAGGGAGAGCAACAGTGTGGAAAGTGGCTGTGGCGAGCAGCGTGGGGAGTGCGTTGGGGATTGTGGTACTGGGTTCAGCCGCAACTGTCAGGGATTCCCATCTGATGCGGTGAGGTAGAGGGGTTGAGTCGGCAACTGGTTGGATTGAGTCTGGGTTGATTGGGTTTGATCATTATTTTTTTATTAATATTTTAAATGACGTGGCACGCTGGCTAAGTATGGGTAACGGTTTTTTTGGATGGAAATGGATGGAATGACATTTTCGTTATTCGTCCAAACATTTGTTACTGAAACGTGCAAAATTAAATATTTGTGACCGTTCTATACTAAGTGCATAGATTTGTGACCTTTTGTGCTAATTACCCCGTAAATTTGAGTTGAACGGCCATCCCTAAACCTTATTATCCGGTCTCGTCTGGAATTTTCTCTCATAATCAGTGCCATACATTCGCCACCCAGCACCAGCAAATTTCTTTCCCATTACCAATCATAACTCGTCCACTGATTCGATTCCCACTTTTGTTCCAATTTATCTGGCCCAATTTTTTTTTTTTTATGTGGGGGAAAAAAATGCTAGTTTATCCAGCCTCCTTCATCACATCACATGCCAATTGGAAATTGGCAAATAGCCAAGCCAATTGAATTTTACAGCGTAGTTGACTTGATTCTCCTCCGATTATCAGGATGATGCTAATTGGAATCTAGCTACAATACTTCAAAATTGCTCACCTACTGGAGGACGCGAAATTCTGACAACAATCGATCCTCTTATTATTGTCAGGACGATGATAATTCAAAATTGATCCTCTAATTATCAGTGATTGCGAAACGTAACCGCGTTAGAGGGGCGTAATAATAAGTTAATTAAGAACCAACTAACTAATCCATTACAGAGGGGGAAGCGCGATTAGCGGCAGTCTTTCTTTCTAGTCTGACTCTAATCCCATTCCCACGGAAACGAGTAATCATCATCTACATGATATGATATGATATGGCTGGACTTGAATTGAAGCTTTCTCGATCAATAGTTTTCCTTATTACCCACATCACACTCCAAAACTTCATGGTCTTTTCAAATCACTCACCATTTCGTACAAGGGGTCACTACATCGTTGTCCGGTGAAATCATACTAGCAACTGCGTACTATATCTTGATAAAATTCTATAGATGATGACCTTTAAATAAGAGAAGTATTAATTAAGGTAGATTCCATCTTCCAAAGTCTTCTGTTTTATAAGGGTTCCATGTTGAAGAGTAAATAGAAAAGAATAGGGATACAAACTTATCTATTCTTGAAATGTTGTTCTCTTCTAATTACGACTCCTCTTAGAAGTCTAGTTAATAAATGCTCCATTTAATATATATATATATATATATATATATATATATAACAATACTTATTTTATACTTTTAAATATTTTTTTGTATTATTTACAAACGGTACATTTTATGGTTTCCATAGTTAACACATATAGAATCCATATAACATGTTTAATATATGTATTTATTAAATTGGTAATTTAATACTATTTATTTTGAAATAATTTTACAAATTACTGATTGTGATTAGAAGTGAGACGTATGGCTCACCAATTAAACTACTCTTCATAAGCTAGCTGCTTATGCTTTCCATCAAAGAAAAGTAGACTACTCTGTGCAACTTAATTATCACATCAGCAAAATTATGAATTGTGTCAAAGATCAATGAATCCAGACTTTGATTCTGACTGATGGTTCACTCGGTGACATCAGCATGTCTCTTATCTAGCTAGTATCTATCTCCCAAGGTTGTCAACCCGTGGGTTGACCCGGACCCGGTTGAGCTAGTGGGTCAAGGGTTAATGGGTCACCCGTTTTAGCCCGGTTTAGCCTCGAAATATGGAAAGCGTCATTATATTATATTTATCCTGATAAATTATATCAAATCTCATCTAACAAATGAGTTATAACATATGATATTACACCAAAATAACATTTCGTACTTAGATTCAATATATAGTAAAAATTCACACACACTTATATAACATTAATATTCAAATGTTCAACTTAGGATTCCAAAGATTGAGTTAGGCGAAAAGAAAAATGGGAAAATAGGCGCATTTCGCAAAACAAAGAAAAAAATGACACAATTTGACCTCCAACCCTGTACCTTGTAACGGTCGACCCGGCGGGTGCGTGCGGCCCTTTTTTTCACCGGGTCAGGATTAAACTGGGGTCGACCCGCAGGTTGACAACCTTGCTATCTCCCAATTTAGCCCTTTGAAATTTGAATATAATCTATTTTGTAATTAATATTTTTCAGAATACTTGAGTCAATCATAGTCTCGTACTAGATTTCCAAATCTTTATTTATTTAGGAATTCAAAGTTGAAGAACATATTGTATGCCCATAAAAATTTAAGTGAAATCTCAATCTACGACGAAATAGGTCCAGTCCAACGACCTAACCGGCTGGAATCCAACTTGTGTAGCTTTATAAGATATCAACTAACATTAACTCGATCACATAAAGTGAAAATAAGATTTTACTGAATCCCTTTTCTCTCATATTCTTCCAAATCTCATGAGCGAGAATCAGTAATCTATAATCCTCAAGAAAATTGACAGGGTGAAAAGTAAAATCATAATGAAATGTATTTGATGTTCAGTCGCAAATTAACTACCCATATGAATAAATTAGAAATTGTTTTTGCTCCGCTAGCTCAAAGTAACAGAAGCAATATGAAACCTAGATAGGGTTCCAACTTGCTAGGGCCACAAGTGAGGCTTTGTAAAAGGCAAAGTCGTGCACTAATGCTTACTTGATGTTTGGTTCCAATAGTGAAAACCATGGGGACTGCATAACGTGGTGGGCTAAACTAAAACAATCATCTTGTTTGTCTCACAAGAAGCTGAACACCACATTAGTGGGTCATGGGTGGTTAATAATATGCTAATTTAGATGGAGGTTCAAGGGGAAGTGGGATAATACCAAAGTAATTACTAATTAGTGGTAAGTTAGGATTTAGGAAGGTACGTAAATTCATTCTGCAACTCACTCTATCAATACTGGGAGCCGGTATGGATTTATGTGCGGACTAGATATCTTCTGAAACTCTAAATCGAACGCTTTTATGTAAAAATAGTACGAAGCAGCTTTTAAAGGTTAGCTAAGTCCATGGTTTGGATCTCATGCATTCAATTGCTAGAAAAAATGGAAGGGGATAGGAGACCAGCAGTTTTGGTTCATGAATTCCTTTTAAATCTTGAACAGAACAAGAAGCAACCAAACCAATTTAATCATGGAAACCATGACCAGACTAATTTCCCCCCTCTTCACTCTTTACTGCAGCAGTGATATCATATCACCAAATAGATGGGAGTAGATACTATGACAACACCTATTGTGTTGTTATAGTGACAACCCTAGGGGGTCGTTTGCTTTAAGGATTTGGTACATGGATTTGGTACAAAAAAACCAACTATCAATGATTTAGGTACAATCCGTTGTTTGCTTGCACCTTTTTTGGAGACCAAATCCGTGGGGCCCACGGATTTTAAGGGTCCAAATCCGTGGACCCCACGGACTTATAAATCCCACATGTTGATGTGGGATTTGGAATATGGCATAAATCCTTGATGACATTTTACCCATATACCCTCATGCAATTTTAATATTCCAAGGTTGCCCTCAAATTTAACTATTATACATTATAATTAACAATAAATGAATAATATAAACATTCAATTAATGTGCAAACATGAGTTAGATATTTTATATAATTTCTTGTGTTCTAGTTTTCTTTGACCTTTTCATGGAACGTGTAATTCTTTGTTCTCCCGATTCTAATATATGTTGTTATATGTTACTTTTGAAAAGGAGGACAAAGAATTGGTAATTGATTATGTTACATTAAAAGTTAAAACGGAATTTTCTCGTTTATTATTATTGTCCATGTGGCAACATTATGCTTATTAGTATGTATTGTCCTTGTTTTGTGTACATATCATAAACATGTCAAACATATAGAAAAGGGCAGTAATGTAATTTTTGACTTCAAGTAGTAAATCTCACACCTTTAAATCCATGATAAAAACATCCCAACAAACAAAGGATTGTTACAAATCCATGATGCCTCAAATCCTTGATAAATCCTTGGGTTTTTAAATTACAAAACCCTCGTTTATAAATCCATGAAGCAAACGACCCCTAGTTTTCCACTAATAGGAAATAGGAAGGTAGGGATGTGATGACTTTTTATTAGTTGAGTTGACCTAGTGCAAAATCAAAACAGGGGTATAATTGTCATTATGAAAATTATGTTTAAATAACAATAAAAAAATTAAATTATTTAAAAAATATTTGTTATTTTCTACTCAATATTTTCGTCGCCGGAATATGCTTTTCGCCGCTGGAATATGCTATTTTGTCATCAGAATATGCTTTTTGCCGCCGGAATATGCTATTTTGTCATCGGAATATGCTCACTGTGGTCGGAATATGCTCACTGTGGTCGGAATATGCTTACCGGTGTCGGAATCTACTCATCGGGGCCGGAATATGCCTATCGGCGCCAGAATCTACTCACTGACGGTCATCGGAGTTTGGTCAACAATTTTTGTTGACCAGTCAACGACAACTGGATATAATGGTTTGCATTGTGAGATTGATGGTTTGGTTTCTCGTGTTTTTTTATGCTATTTGTGGTTTGCTATATCGTATTATTAGTTTGCATTAAGAAGTTTCTGGTGTGCTTTAAAAAAATTGTGGTTTGCTTTGCGGGATTTCTGGTTTGTTTTAATAGATATTTGGTCTGCATTAGGACGTTTCTGGTTTGTTTTTGTGGTTTGTTTTATCTTGTTTGTGGTTTGCATTATGAGGTTTCTAGTGTGTTTTTTAAAATTTTGTGGTTTGCTTTGTGAGGTTTCTGGTTTGTTTTAATAGATTTTTAATTTGCATTAGGACGTTTCTGGTTTGTTTTTGTGATTTGCTTTATCGTGTTTGAAATTTGCATTATGAGGTTTCTGGTGTGTTTTTTAAAATTCTGTGGTTTGGTTTGTGAGGTTTCTGGTTTGTTTTACGCGATTTGTAGTCTACATTACGAGGTTTCTAGTGTGCTTTAGAAACATTTGTGGTGTGTTTTATGATGTTTTTGGTATGTTTCAGGAGATTTATGATTTACATTACAAGGTTTTTGGTGTGTTTTATACTATGTTTTATTGGGTTTATCAAAATCTCTCGGTCTCTCTTTCAGTGATACAGAAGCAGTCTCGTAACTAATCCAATTCCTATGAGTGGAATCATGCAAATCATCAGATTGCACTTCAATTCTATCAGAATCCACCGGCTATGCCGCCGGAAACAAGCTCAAAACCAGCACAAATCTCAACTAATCAACCCATGCCTCGCCACTCCTCATCACCCAACGATCTATCCATCTCCGTCATTGACGCACTAGGTTAATCGGAGCTTACTACTCCCTCGTCCTCAAGAAGTGCAGCCATGACCCTTCCGTAAAGAGATCTCGCCAGCCGCTGCGCCTCAACCATTAGGTGTTCATCGTCGATGAAGATAGATCTATTTTGTATTGCTCACCCAAACTATTCCACATTGCCCCCTTCCCGCACGTCCTCCATCCGGATTCCCAAACCCCCATATGCTACGCGATGTAGAATACCTAATCAAGTAAGCTCCAATATCAGCAAGTTCATGAATCTCCTGGAAGTTTTGAAATCATTGAAACCCTCACCTCCCATATGGGCTCTCTGGTGGTGGCTTTCACTTTGAAAATCACTTCCTCAATCATCAGTGGAGAGCCATCCTTCATCAATTCCCTCTTGAAATGGAGCTACGATGTGGCAAATTTCAGTGAAGACCTCTATGATTCTTCAGAGGAACTTCAAGTAAGTAACTACTCAAACTTCCTATTTACTAATCAAGGCTACGATGTGGCGGATGGAGCGGTGCTCCACATCTTCGCGCGGCTTCTCGACGAGAAGACGACTGCAATTCACAACACCGGAAGCTTATACTCATGAAATCAAGCGGCGAATCTTTGAGATCACCAGAATCTCTGTTCAATCCGGAGTGCAACGTCCACCTCCTACTTGACTGAAACAAGGATGATTACTGGCGGAAGGACAAAGAAAGGATGGGGACGAAAACAATCTGGAATTGTTTGTGGCAGTGGAAACTGGGAGACGCATACGGATAATTACTGTAATTTTTAGTTTTATTATTTATTGGGTTAATGGACCCTTTTATCCTTGTTGTTATTATAACAACACTTCTAGTGTTGTTATTGTTGGGTCTAGTATTAACCCACCTAATACCGGCCCAAGCCCACCACAAAGCGTCTCACCTTGGGCCCAAGCCCATTCTAGGGTCCAGTACACCGGGAGGCGTCCATCACTGGGAGGCGTCCAGCCTATCCGGGGGCGTCCACCACCGGGAGGCGTCCATTCACCGGTAGACGTCCACCACCGGGAGGCGTCCATTCACCGGAAGGCGTCCATCAACGGGAGGCGTCCACAGGATGCCTCCGACTCCTATATAAGGAGGCCAGACCCTCCAAGCAAAGGGACTTCTCTCCCTTCCCTCGCTTTCCCACTGATGGTTCTCTCTCTCTAAACCCTATCTCTCTCTACATTTCTCTTTACACTCTATCATATATCCTTACTGACTTGACCGTCGGAGTGTAGATCCCGGGGGCCGCCCCCGACTCTCCACAGGTTTCTTCCACTCTCGAGGAGATCAGACGAGGGAGTCCGAATCAAGGTTCCACACTAATCCCCCAGTACTAATCCGGGTCAAACATTTTGGCGCCCACCGTGGGGCCTGATTTGGTACTCTTCTCGTTTGGTATCTGAAGGAGGAGAAGAAATCAATTTTTTCTCTACTAATTACCACCGACGGCTCCGACCGCAAAATCTCATCAGAGGATTGAAAGAAATCAGCTCTTCCTCGATCACCTCTCACGAGAACAAAAACAACCAATAGAAAGTTCTTCCTCTGCCAAATTCAAAGGAGCATTCTCTTCATCTCAGTCCAACAACAAGTTACAAAATCTCAGATCTGAATGGATAAAAGCAGCAAAGAAGATAAACCCAGATCTGGATTGGAGAAGCAAACAGATCCATATATGGCCATGTTCCTCCTCTCGATCAAAAGGAAAATGAGAGATCCCAGATCTGCTTCCTCTCTCAAAAATAGTGTTCGACCACAACAAAGAAGAAGAAAGAAAAACAACATCAGAAGCAATCCAACTCCTCGTCTTCGCCAGCACAAGGTAGAAGGAGAACGAGTATCACCAGAATCATTTTCTCTTCAAATCTCGATTCTCCAATCCACCAAACCGCCGGTCATAGTCCCGACGAATTTCCCCAGAACTTTGTCTCTTCCATTGCTGGAGCTGCGCCTCTTTTTCCTTAAAGATAAAGTGAATTTCGATCGCCGGCGACGGAACCTGCGCCGACGTTCTAACGGAGCTGCCACTATCACCACTGTCTCCTCCTACCCCAGCACCCTAACTGTCGACAGCTACCTTTCTGACGCAATATAGAAAGTGTCAGAGAAAGCAGAGGCGTACAACAACGCCAAGAAAGAAAGAAAAGAAAAAACTACCACGGCGCGCAGACCGCGTTAGAGAAAGAGCGACCGTCGCTCTGCAAAAAGGAAAGAATAGAGTCGCCTTGCTCGCATAGTCCACACAAAGACCGCGCAAGGAAAGAAAACCGCATTCGGCCAATGCCCGATCATATATCTTAGGCATTTCTGAAGCTTGGCCCGCATTCTGTTCCAGACAGCCCAATTTGGCCCACCTACCATCGGAGCCCACGAATGCCCGCCTAAAATTGCCATGCTTTGCCTCCCTTCGCACCAAGCCGAGCCCAAAGCCGCTTCCAATCTGGGTCACCTAGCCAATGCGGCCCATTGCGCTTCAACTTCCAACACCTCAAGGCCAGGTCCATTACTCTTCAAACTTCAGCAACACCAAGAAAACAAAAACGATGTCGACAGGATTCGAACCAGACACCAAGAAGAAACAGCTAGACGCATCCACCAACAGACTACAAAGAGTTGTGTGAAAGTGACAATCCGCATTGTATTTATAATATCAACCACTTCAACCAGCAGAGCATTCTTCACCGGCCACCGTAAACCAGGCCCTGCACAGCGGCCCATCCCACGAAGAGTGAGTGAAGAGTCTGATTAAAAAACAATAAAGCAATGCGTCCAACAAGATTCGAACCCGAATTCTAACAATTTGGAAGCTAGAGCGCACACCACTGCACTGCAAGACATTTTCTGAATCAAATGCGACCGCCATTATTTCTTCCAATTCTCTACTGCGTCTCCTATAGCTAAGTTCTCTCTTTCAAGATATATCTTATATCATTTGCCATGAAATGAAGATAATCATTTTCACTATACTATGACATATTTCACGCATGCTATGCTTATGTTTGTGCTCTAAAAATATGGGGCACTAGTCACTCACATCTTTCGCAGATGTCAAACCGCATCGCGCTTCCTGAGCAATGCTTCCCCTCTACGTAGAAGCCCGAAACCGCCTCCCAGTAGGCGCACCATCGGTATAGCTAACACGATCCCGCCTCCCAGCAGGTGTGGCATCTTCGCAACACAAACGTCGCCTTGAGTTAAAACTCTCAAGTCGTGGGGGCCGCCCTCCCTAGCACATAGCTAACGTCTAATATTCAGCCAACAACTCACGCTTAACATGCACACAAGCTCATGCCCATCTCGCGGTCCAACAGCTTAACGCATACAGCATTACAGCTCACAGTTACGGCCTACATATTAGCACGCTCCGCAATGGGCTAGTGGGGAAATCTCAAACGACTTGAGAGCTCTAACTCAAGACATCGAATACTAAACAAAGAAGCAAAGATGATGGCCGCACAAGGGGCAAACCGCATCGTTTGGACTCGCAAAGGTCCAGTCCACTTGGGGGCGTCCATCACCAAGAGGCATCCTGTCACCCGGAGGCGTCCATCACCGGGAGGCGTCTCATCCACCGGGAGGCGTCCATCACCAGGGGCATCCATCACCGAGCGATGGTCGCACAAGGGGCAAAACCTCATCGTGCGGACTCACAAGTAAGGCAAGTTAATACACCTTAACACATTATTTTACTCATTCCATTCTTACAGAATACAAGAAGCAAAGGGGCAAATGTTGGGTCTAGTATTAACCCGCCTAATACGGGCCCAAGCCCACCACAAAGCGTCTCACCTTGGGCCCAAGCCCATTCTAGAGTCCAGTACACCGGGAGGCGTCCATCACCGGGAGGCATCCACCACCGAGAGGCGTCCATTCACCGGAAGGCGTCCAGCCTACCCAGGGGCGTCCACCACCGGGAGGCGTCCATGACAACGGGAGGCGTCCACAGGATGCCTCCGACTCCTATATAAGGAGGCCAGACCCTCCAAGCAAAGGGACTTCTCTCCCTACCCTCACTTTCCCACTGATGGTTCTCTCTCTAAACCCTATCTCTCTCTACATTCCTCTCTACACTCTATCATATATCCTTACTGACTTGACCGTCGGAGTGTAGATCCCGAGGGCCGCCCCCGACTCTCCACAGGTTTCTTCCACTCTCAAGGAGATCAGACGATGAAGTCGGGATCAAGGTTCCACACTAATCCCCGATACTAATCCGGGTCAAACAGTTATAGTATCCGGATCCCATAAAGAAAGTATATGGAATTATGGATCCATAGGCTGCAGCATTTCATTTCAAGATCGACTCGCCGGCACAAATTGCTAACATTCAATCAGATTATCTCAACTTATAAAATATCGAATATTGAAGAAGAAACCTAAGCCCCAATCCTAAAGCTCAACTGACAATGTTCCACTCGAATCATCCCCACACCATCTCAAGAGATTCAGGGATTTCAACAACTAGCTCATGACCTAAAACTCAAAATCAGACCAACCCTGGTGGATGACAAACATCTTTTCACACAAGTGGTGCACTAAAATGCTGCAATGAGATCACCATGGTTCGACCATATAATCGCACATCTACAAGCACAATTCACCTTAGAAACTGGCATCGCTTCAGATCTAGATAAATCCAACATTGTTGAAATCTATCCTGACAGAACATACTGAGATGAAACTAATACGCCCAAATAATCCAAAGTACCATATTTATGCACATAATAGAGAGACCCAAGTCACTTCTAACCACTCTTCTAAACAAATCCTCACTGAATGGCAGAGTCCCAGCAGCAAGGCACAAATTCAGATGGGCAATGGCTAGAAGAAACACATAATCGTCACCCACCATAAACAGCATATAGAGAAACAGGGGCCAAATTTGCATATTCAGGCAAACGAGGCACAAATGACAATATCCAGGACGAACACCATTTCAGAAACTACCATCCATTTAGCCAACAATTCAACAAGAGTAGCAAAGTCTAACAAAATTTCTCTCACAGTAAAACAAACTAAACACAAATACTCCAGATTCCCATATAACCAAAAACAGAATAATAAACTGCAGATAGAAGCAGAACGCCAGGACTGACTTCCCCCGCCCTGAACCCTTTTTCCATAATGCCTTAGTACCTTGGCCTGCCTCTGCCAAACCCACCGAACTGCGGAGCCGAGGCAGCAACGGGGTCGACGACGGAAATCCCACCGACATCGGCCATGCCGAGGGCGCTGATCATCTCGAGCGTCTCCTTGTCGACCTCAATGCTGTTGACCTTGATGGCGGACTCCTCAGGGACGAAGTCCATGCGGCGCTCGCGCTCTTCCTCCTGGAGCTTGAGGGAGATGCCACGGACGGGGCCCTTCTGGATCCGCTTCATCAGGTGGGTGGAGAAGCCGGCGATCTTGTTGCGGAGGCGCTTGGAAGGGATGATGGCGACTTCCTCAAGGATCTTCTTGTTGGTGTGGAAATCGAGTGTCATCTTCGAGTAGTAGCGCTCAATCACCTGGCGCGAGGACTTCTTCACGGTCTTGGTGCGAACACGACCCATTTTAGCCGCCGACGGGAGAGGAGAAAGGGAGCTTAACCTAGCTGGGGATTTTCGGCCGCCGGTGGGGAGAGTGAAGAGGGAAGCTGCTGCTGCGTCTAATGGGATTTGAGGATTAGGGTTTATGTTTATATATATGTCAAAGGTGTTGGCGCGGGCTCTTGGATATGGGCTTTTGGAAACTCAAAATATGGGTGATGGGCTTATCGGCCTTGGCCTGGATGGGCTTACAGCAAATCACAAAAAAACTGTTGAATATTACTAGGACAATGCTATGCTTAGGGGTGGTAATCGGTAAACCGGTATTCGGTTTAGGACAATAGATTAGTTTGGCCCTGTTGTAGTTTTTACAGAAGCAGCTTCTGACTGGAGCTTTTAGATGAGTACTTTTCAAAAAAAGCAGTTTAGTGTTTGGCTGTAAAACTATTAGAAGTGCTTTTTAATATGAGCAGTTGTGTAAAATGACTATAAAGGACTTATAATATAAAATATAAAAAATTCTAAATAATAAAAAGTAGTCAAAATGGATCTTGTTAGATTTCTTTTATATTAAATAATATGATTTTATAATTTATTTTATTTTTAAAATGATATAAATGAAGAAAAATTATATTTTCTGAAATAAAATTAAAATATGGTAAGGATAATCTTGTATTTTCAAAACAGTTTTTCGCAGAAGCTCCAAATCGGAGCTTCTGCTTTTATGTTATACAAAAGCGCTTTTCGGCTTTTCAAAAGCCGAACCTTTAGAGGTGTTTGGCCATGCTTCAGCTTTTGAAGCCGAAAAGCACTTCTAAAAGTCGGGCCAAACATAGGCAATGCTACGGAGGGGTGGTAATCGGTAAGCTGGTATTCGGTATTAACAGGTACCGTACCGGATACTGGCGGTATCGGTATTCGATGGCGTGATTTGGCAATACGATATATCGGATAATATCTGGTAATATACCAACGACAATCTGGTATACCAGAATATCGAAATAGTGGAGCTTAGTTCCACAAGTTAGCCGTAACAGTTGCCAAACCAAAGAGCAAAGACCCTTTTCTTTTTCGTCTCCAGCTTCTTTGTTACACTTCCACTCTCTGTCCTCTATAAAAATTCCTACTTTCATTTGTTACCTTGTCATTCTCTTTTTTTCCGGTAAGTTAACTTTACCATTAAGAACCCTCCTAGCTATAACCAACACAAGAGCTCGAAAAAACACAAAGGATAAAACGCCCACACCAATCCTTTACAAGGAATTACCAAAAGACAAACAAAACTCCCTACTCATCTAAACATTTACAGAAGGAAATAGTTTTGCTTAAGAGTATCTGAAACTCAGGTCGAGCCACAGCATACAGCCTGACTTCCTCCCTGAGCTGCTCTGCCAACACAACAGCAGCACGAGGCTGTTCACCAAACACCCTTCGACATCTCTCCTTCCAAACAGCATTAACACACCAACACCAGATCGATGCTTCAATCTCTCCACAGCTTCCCTTCTCCCTTACTCTGGTTACAATTCTGTCCAGCATTTCAGCCCAACTTCCAGTGAACACTACCCTTCCTCTCAGCAGAGTAGCAATCATCTCCTGGATATAAGTACATTGACAGAATAGATGGTCTCGAGATTCTTCTACTACACTACAGAGCACACAGTTGCTATCATTTATAACACCCCATATTTTGAGCTTGTCTCTTGTAGGGAGCCGATCCATGATAATCAGCCAAACCTGCACACTATTTTGAGGTAATACAAACTTGTTCCAAACAACCTTCCACCAGCTTACACAAGGCTGCCTCCTCCTAATAGTGTCCCATACAGCAGAGACTGAGTACTTATCAAATCGCCTACCCAGCCATGTCACACAGTCTTGAGCCACATCCATTCTAAATCTTATCAAAGGTCTGACTTTCAACACTTGCTTCCAGATCCAGGAACCAGATTGTGTTACTTTTGCTTCCCATATTGAGACCCCTCTGAGTCCGTATTGATTTATCCAGGCTACCCAAAAGCTACCCCCCTGAAGGAGAAGCAGTCATATAAGGCGAGCCATAGAAGCCACATTCCAAGTAATCAAATCCTTCAAACCCAGCCCCCCTTCTTTCTTTGGCATAGCAATAACATCCCAAGCAGCTTTAGCTCTGCCTGACTTATCCCCATGCCAGATAAAGTCTGAACAGATTTTCTGAATACTCTTAAGAACCTTCTTTGGTATAAGAAAAATGGCCATCCAATAATGAATCAACGAGCATAAAACTGATTCTACCAACTGAAGCTTCCCAGCATAAGACAATTTATTTTCCTTCCAGCTCCTGACTCTGCTAGTAATCTTATCTATCAAAACTGAACATTCTCTACTGGATAGTTTACCAGCAAGGAGAGGCAGACCAAGGTACCTCACTTGTAAAGTCCCTTCTTTGAACCCAGATATTCTAAGTGCATTCTACTTAAACTGATGCGCATAACCCCCAAAAAAGACCTCACTCTTATCCGGATTACATTGGAGTCCAGAAAGCTTGTAAAAAACATTCAAAATGGATCTCAAACCATGCAAAGCATACGCTGATCCCTCAGTAAAAATTAATAAATCTCCAGCAACTCAGTTGAGTTAATCCCAAGTTCTCACACTGCGGATGGAAAGGAAGAATACCCTGAAATGCAGCCTGATTCAGCATTCCAGTAAGGGGTTCCATGGCTATGGTAAATAGGTAAGGGGAAAGGGGGTCCCCTTGCCTAACCCCCTTAGCAACACTGAAGAACCCAAACAAACTCCCATGAATAGAGATGCTAAAAGTAGCAGAGCTCAAACAAACCCTAATCCACTGCATAAATTTCTATCTAAACCCCATTTTTCCATAACCACCTTCAAATACCCCCAATCAACCGAATCAAAAGCTTTACATAGACTAGGGCTGGGAAACGGTGCGGTCTGGTCTAGACCAGACCATCTATACGGTCTATGGTCCAGACCGAGAGGCTAAAGTATAGATCACAGACAAGACCACATACTATACGGTTCGGTCCAGACAACGCCTGTGCGGTCTGGTTCGGGCTGGTCTGGTCCAGATAGACCACACTGAACGAAAAATGAATAATTTGTTTAGTCAACCACACAAAAAATTGAACCAATAGCCAGGAAAAATAATTGTTATTTGCCTTAAATCATTAATCCTAACATGCATGAATAATTTTGATACTATAAATTTTAGTACTTACCAAAGATACAAAGTAAAAGCATCCCAACTTGCACCATAACGTCATAAACATTAACATAATGTCATATGGAAACACGATTATCTCTACTCTCTAGTTAAATGTAGTTGTGAATTAAGGAGGGACGAGATTCACAAACTAAGGTTGAGACTTGGGTGTCGTTTTGGAAGTTGGGAGAGTGGTCGAATGGGCTGTTAACACGTATTTACAAGTCAGTTGGGTCCTTGGTTTGGTCCGGTAAACCGCGGTCTAGACCAGACCAGACCACGAGATCAAAATATAAAATAGTACAGACCATGGACCAGACCAGACCATACTTAACAGTCTACGGTTCGGACCAAACTGTACGGTACGGTTTGGACCACGGTTTTTCTAACGATCTGGTCTATTTTCCCAGCCCTAAGTAGACCCACCTTTATTGCACATCTTGAGGAAATATTTACTTTTTTGTAATTATGCACAATTTCCTGTGCCATCAGTATATTCTCAACAATGCTTCTTCCCTTAATAAAGGCAGACTGGTTCCTACTAATGACAGAGGCAAGCACATTCTTCAACCTATTTGCTAGTACTTTGGAAATGATTTTGTAGAGAACATTAATACACGCTATAGGTCTAAATGAGTTCAATTGATCAGCATTTGCAACCTTCGGCACAAGGGTTAAGGAGGCAGAATTCATACCTTTTGGCATTTTAGAGTTTTTAAAGAACTGTTGAACCCCCTCCACAACCTCTGGTCCAATAGTCCCCCAGCATTTTTGAAAGAAACTTGCAGCCCAGCCATCCGGCCCTGGTGCCTTATTCGGGTTCATATCAAACAAAGCTTCATAGATTTCCTTGCTAGACACTTCCTTACACAAAACATTCTGATCTTCCAGGCCAAGCTTATGTGTAAGATACCCCTCAATAAGAGCCTCATCTACAGAGACCTCTTGATTCACCAATCCAAATATCTCTTCATCCACAACCCACCAATCACTGATCATCTTGTGTGTTTCCTCATTTTGAAGTGTTCCTACCTCAACAAATTCTTAGTTCAAATAACATGTTCTGTGGACTCCAGCCTCCAGGAGCTTTCTGCTTCCTTTTCCCTTTTCGTATATATATATATAGTGGCGTCTTCGGTGCACTCACTTTTTTGGGTCATTCAGTGCACTCGCTTCATAACCGTTATTTTATACATGCGTTTTATGTCAAAATGATGTCAATCATCAATTATGATGTGATGAACAATAACGCACATGAATTTGCACAAAAACCATTAAAGATTTACTTTAATTTGAATGATTTAGAGTTTAGAGATTTAGGGTTAGGGTTTATAATTTGGGATTTAGGGATAGAACTCAAAATTGGAGGTCTAGAGCTTAGGGTAATCCGCTAATTAGTTGTTATCATATGTTATATCATCATATTACACTAATTCTACAAATTAAAATTCAAAATCCGACACCTTAAGACTAGTTTTTGAGTTGGGTGCATTGAACACACTCATTTTTGTGAGTGCACCGAAGTAGTCACCATATATATATATGAATACGACTCGTATGCTCCAGATACATACGATGCTCCAGCCCTTTGCACCATTGATCTAATCTAACGGTCACCATAAATTATGATAAAATTATTTATTAATTATAATTACTACTTTCATCCATTAAATACTTATATGCGCACTTTAGTCCCCTAACAATTTTGGCCATCGTATTTTGCGTTTCTTAGCCATACTTTTCGACACCAGAATTTATTTAGTTGATACATTTTTTTCCTTCAAAATTTGATTTATAATATTTGATATATCATCTTATCATTGTACGACACCAACTTCCTCCCAATTCACTGTCACCCTTAGAAGTCAAAACCCAGAAAACATACTTCCCTTCGAACATCTATCCAAAATAAATAATTAACACCATATTCGAGATCCACCATTCAGCTTCCACTAGGACCTAGAGATTTGGTTATTTCTTGCTCAAGGAACCTTGAAATCCTCTGATTCGCATTCGTCAATCATCATCTAACATCCCGATTAGTTGTCTCGAGTTACTCTGACTTTCTTTCTCTTGTGCCCAATTGTGGCTTCGGTGACGATGGTCGCTTCTGATGAGGTACTTTGCCAATTCTCGTTCTTCTCGATTCTGGGAACTTGGATTAGGGATTCTAGGTAGGCGGCATATTGACCGCAATTCCACTCGTCCACGGGAGCGCCGCTTCCTCTCAGGGGATTACATAAGTAAATTCACAGTTGGGTTCAATTCGATTTTAGACAGGTCAAAAGACAAAAATGTCGACCTCAATCAATTAAACCCAGAAATTAACAAAACAGATTGACGAACCAAGAACGACGAACTCAGAAGGAGAAACCCAGAAAGACGGCATCCTCAAATCATGCGGAGAGAAGGTACCTTCAATCAAAGGCCTTGATCTGCTACTGCATGTACTGGATTCTCGGATTAGGGCTGAGTTTGGGACGAGTCCTCCACCCAGACGACGCTGGCTCGATCGAACGGCGATGGTGAGGTGATCCGCCGCGCGAGAGGGAGGGAGGGAGAAGTGAGAGACAATGAATCTTCCTGCAATGGTTGTGGGATTAGGTTATTTGAAATAGGCATTGGGGATTAGGTTTGGAAAGTGGTGGTGACATAATAGAAGTAGATCGTGGTAAGCCAGTCTCCATAATCGTCGAGGAAGCGTTCGTCGATGATGAAGGAAGCGAAACCGGGGAGTGAGAGATTCATGGAGATGGGGGAGTCAAATCGACGAAGAGACTAAGGGATGTGGGGAAACGGAGCAGAGCGGAGGAGAGGGGCTAGAGACGGAGGGTGTTGTTGGCTCTCGCCAGCGGCGGCTGAGAAGAAGAAGAAGAAGAAGAAGAAGAAGAAATGACAAAACTGAGAAGAATGGGTGTTCAAGTTATGATTAGAACATTAGGTACTATAGTATAAAAATATATGAAAAAATTTGTATAGGGACTAAAACACACATATAAAAATGTAATGGTACCAACTAACTATTTTAAAACGATAAATAATAAATAATTTAAATAGAATTAACAAACGTCGTTAGATTAGATCAACGGTACTAAGGATTTGGAGCATGCTATGCGTCTGGAGCATACGAGTCTGACCCATATATATATATGGCAAAGGCTAGCTACACCTGACGTACGCTGTACGCCTGTGTTCACACTAAAAAATTAATATTAAATAATTTTAATTTAACTATGAATATTTAATTAATGTATAATAATTAGAATTACAATCACATCCATTAAATAATTTTTGTGTAAGTTTTAGTCCCCAATCAATTTTTACCGTCCATTATGTTCAAATCAAACATATAACTTTTTCATATATAAACTCTAGTTCCTGATTTTTCCAAATCACAATTCCAAAGTCCTAAAGTTTGTGTTTAGAATTGGAAATTCCATCAACTCATTTCAGGTGTCTTCTTCTCTGCTTTCTCCGTCAATGGGTAGCAGCGGTCAGCAGTCTCCGCCACCGTACAAATCATTCCGACTCCTCAAAACTGCGAGACACCACGAACACGCCGTCTCCTGTGTCAAATTCTGCAACAACGGCGATCTCCTCGGTTCCGCCTCGAGAAACCCTAATCCTCTGGTCCACCTCCAACTTCTCCCTCTAAACGCGCCTCGTCAACCAATAAAACTTGCGGTGAAGCAATACTGTGTGAATGGGAGGCGAGGCTAGCTTCTATTTCTGTCTCTCTCTAATTGTTGTGGTGGACGGAGGTGGGCTTTGCGGCAGCGACGGATGGGTACGATACAGGGATGCTGATTGGGGGTGAGTACCTGTTAGAGGGGATGATGATTTGGAGCTCCACCATTGGTAAGTCCAATCTGGTGTCCAGATTCAGGAGGAAGGGCTGCCTGGTCGAGTTCAATCCCAACATTGGAGTGACGTTTGCTTATAGGGATGTCCGGTGAAATAAGTTTCATTTATGTTCATTACTCTGCTTTTGGTGGTTCGATTTCGTAATATTAGGTAGGGGCCTCTATTTTTTATTTCCAATTACTGTGCTGGATGATTTTATAAATCGGTTTTTTATTTATGTTATTATGGACAACTCTGTTAGTTGTTCCGAGAAACAGAGCATGGAAACTCGCCACGTTGTGTGCAAATCTCTGGCATTAATGTATGAGATTGTTGGCTCTTACCGCGAGCATCTTGGAAAGAGAATTCCTGTGCAATCGTGGCGCAGCTGTGAACTCTGTTGCTGAAGAGGCGGGCGGCGTGGATTTGGGTCTTGTCAGAAGGAGTGAAAATGAGGAGTTGCTTGGAATTGAAGTTGAACTATCTCATGTTTTGGACTATTGAGTCTCGAATGAACGATAACAGAGAAAATAGCTCGATCTCGACACTTCAAGGTTCTTGAACCTAAAATTGCTCTTTTGTTCTCCAGAGACAACTGCTTCCTTGAATTTAGCTCTCTTGGTTGGGGATATGAAAATTTGCGCTCCTAAGACGATAATGCTGCATGGGTTGGATATTGGGAATTAGGGAGATGAGATTGAGAATGGTGGGGAGAAAGTTGGGAGATCAAATTCTGGTCAGGAAGGGACAAAAGGAATAACGATTCCAAACCCAAGTTTCGGGTGACTAGATACTTTCAGTTTTCATACATGAACACGAAAAAGTGAAGCAAAACCGGTAATGTTGTTTTATGATAATTAATCAATGGAAGTTTGATTTGAAGAAATTAAAGCAAATCAGACGAAACGTTAAAGTAACACTCACCACACTGGCTCTTTTAATTTAAACAAACAATTTAGGTGGTCTTAATCATTGTTGGGAGATAGAAGGTACTGGAATTGTTATGATGAATTTTTAAATGATTGATTAAGCATAACGAATGGTAAACTATTTTTTGGGATCACAACATAGAGAAAATAAATTAATGGATGTGATGGTAATTTATATTTTTATTAATAATTACTTTTATTATAATTATTAATTCATTTTCTGGTGTGAACATAGGCGTACCGCGTACGACGGGTGTACGCTAGCCTGAACCATATATATATATATATATATATATATATATATATGGTGACTACTTCGGTGCACTCACAAAAATGAGTGCGTTCAATGCACCTAACTCAAAAGCTAGTCTTAAAGTGTCGGATTTTGAATTTTAATTTGTAGAATTAGTGTATATGATGATATAACATATGATAACAACTAATTAGCCGATTACCCTAAGCCCTAGACCTCCAATTTTGATTTCTATCCCTAAACCCTAAATCGTAAACCCTAACCCTATATCTCTAAACTATAAATCCTTCAAATTAACGTAAATCTTTAATGGTTTTTGGGCAAATTCATGTGCATTATTGTTCATATCATCATAAGTGATGATTGACATCATTTTGACATAAATCACATGTTTAAAATGACGGTTATGAAGTGAGTGCACTGAATGCACCAAAAAAAGTGAGTGCACCGAAAACGCCACCATATATATATATAGTTGCCACAATATCTCTTAATACACAACCCACTAATCACTGATCATCTTGTGTGTTTCCACTGTTTAAACTTTTAGTGTTCCTACCTCTACTAATTCTTAGTCCAAACAACAAGCAATGAGAATGCATCATCACCATCCAAACTTCACAAGGTGTAGAGAGAGCATACAAGCTCTACATACTCCATCTTTGGACATTTCTCAACATATTAAAAAATACTACAATCCGAAAGGTTTGTTTTCAGAGAATTAGAACTCACAATTCAATGACTGTAGTTTTGGAAGAAAATGATATATCTGGTACCGGTTAAAATACCGGTAATCGACTATCTGGTATTCGGTATACCGAATTTTCAGTATCGGTATTTGGCGACATAATTTCAATTGGCGGTATACCGAATACCAGCTACTCGGTATCTGATATACCGGATACCGACCGATTACCACCCCTAGCTACGGTGCAGCTGTTAAAACTTAAAAGTGCGACACCGGTGCAGCAGTTTTCTATGGACTACCTGGCATTAACAAGCTGATGTGGCATTAATTGGGTTTGTGAAAACCAGTCCAAAACCCGTCGCCTATAAACTGGGTCAACCACCGAACTAGGTATCTGCTTATTACTTTATTATTTTCTTTTTCTCCTCGCAAATACATATGATTTTTATTCCAAATCTTTAAGTTATTACCTTTTCCCCAGAGGAAAAACGCGAAAAGAATCTCATTGTCCTCTCTCTTCGTTAGACTGTTAAAAGCTACAAAGAGTTCATCGAAATCCTTCGCCACCGAACCGATTTCTCATACAACCTCTTCGATTCGCCTCAACTAAACACATTCATTGTCTTCCTCATCCAAGATTTATTCGGTAAAACAAAAATAGAACAAATCCCTTGTTCCATCGACCTTCCGTCTACGTTGAACTACTACGCTGCCACACGATCCCAAGCAAACAAGCAGATTTGTACTTTGTATTTCAACGACGAAGGATGGTGATGGTGATGATGAAAATTCCAACAACGGAGACATGAACCTAGATGATGATGACGATCCAGATGATACTCTTCTCAGTACTTTGAAGCAGAAAGGTTGTGCTAATGTTGGTGGTACTACAAGTTCTATCGGAGATGGAGGAGCATGAGCTAGTGGTTATTTGATGAGTTGATTTATTGATGTTTGTGTTAAATTTGGGACTTCTAAGCTCTATTTTAATTTTTAAGTTTGAACTTGTGTTGATTTTAGACATTGTTATTGTGCACTTTAGTCGATTTTACGATTATCATGTTTGTTTTCCCTTTGAATTTGATGATGTTTGTTTGGTGAATTTGATTTGATGATGTTTGATGTTGAATTGTTAATTAATGCGTGTTGTCCCTTTGAACTTGTGTTAAATTAATTAACAAACCGATTTATTGTTTGTCATTAACATACATACTCCATTATTCACATTTTATAGTACATGAATGGAAGTATAAAAATTGAAAATATTGTTAATAATAGTTAAGAATTAAATTATAAATCACATAAAAATGAAAAAAAATCTGGAAATGTAAAACTGCCCCTACCCAGAATCGGTTCGGTTATAAAATGGTTAACTGAACCGGAAGTCGTCTTCTCCTTCGCTTTCATGGTCAGTCGGTCAAACCGGTTTGTAACGTTAACCGGCTATCCGATTTGCTGGTTAACCATTTACAAACTGGTATCTGTATTCGAACAGTGTATGTGCGTTACTGGTATACCAGTAACCGGTCGGTAACCGGTTAAACCGGTAACCGACAGATTACCACCCCGAATAATTTGACATCTTAAATTGGTGGCTGCATTTAAGCAATATATAGCTTTATATCAATTGATGTTCATTAGTTATTAGTTAGAATGTTGGCAAGCATAAATACATGGTCGTTTGGTTTTGGTGACAGTTAAATTGATGCATTGTCATCAATGCATACATAATAATATACATGTATATAAGAAAATCGGTGTATTATAGTTTACATTGTTTGGGTTATGTGATAGTTATTGTAGTATTTAAATAAGTTATATTATCTTTGGGATGAAATGTCACTTTTACCCTTTGCTTTTTATATAAGAAAGCAACAACACATAAAAAGGTAGGGACATAGTTGGAAGAAACAAAGACTCAACAATCCCAATAAAATAATCTCAACAATCTCACCAAAAACTTGAGATTTAACTATCACTCATTTTGAGTGATAGTTTGTGTCATTTCAAGCAAACAATGCACATATTGTTTGTGCAGAAAATTCAAAAAAACAATACATTGTGGACAATGCATGCATTGTAACTATCCCAATCAAACAATCACCAAAACCAAACGACCCCGTAGAGTTTGGTGAAGATCATATATCATGTAGAAGGCTAGCCTGGCATGGCATGCCTATCCTGGTGAACAATGATAACCTAATTGCCTAAGCTACATGGTTGCATTGAGTTGGAGTTCATGAGAAGGGAGAAGCTTAGATGTTGACCGTTGAAGATGTGTAACTTTGGCTTCATTGTCTCAATACTAGTTTAGTTTTGCTCCTTCTATCTCAAAGGTCAGGTAGGGATGTCAAAAATATCCGTAACTGTGGATATCCACCCGAATCCGGCCTAATCGGATAGGGTAAAACTAGTTAGTGGGTCTGGGTGTTTTAGTTAGTGGGTCTGGTCTGGTTTGGTTAGAGGTTTGGTTAGGTTTAGCTGACATGGAGGGTTTAAATGACGTGGCGGGTCAGGTCAGTCAATTTTGGGGTTAAAAAGTGCTGATTAGGCAAATCAGTCAGCCACGTCATCACTTAACGGACGCCGTTAACGGCGTTGGACGGCAGCCAACGGAGAGTGACCATAAATGAACGGTTTTTGCAAAGTTAGTGACCAAAAGTGGATTTAAATATTTAGAGTGCACAATTCATTGGATCCAATCCAAAACTTCATGAATCAATTTGATCCCACCAATGAATCTATGAATTCGATCCAACTACCCCTCTATCTATAATATTGATTTATGGTAGATTAGCCCAATTCTTGTATAAATAGCCATAGCCCATAAGTTCCCTTGAGAATTCTTTGAAAATAATTGGCAATATTACAGAAGACATTGTAGATGCCTAGATGGTGTGTTTAAATGCAGATAGCATTCTACTGTATACACCCATAAATGGAATGAAATAAAAGGAAAACTTCTCTTGTCACGTTAGGTGCCAAAACACCTAATGCTAATTTATTCACGTATTTTTATACTCATTCACGTCATTTTGTGTGTATTCACGTAATACTATGTTTATTCACGTAAGAGTGTAAGTTATTCACGTAAATAAAAATTCAGACTTTTTCCCCCTAATAATTTGTATTGGCTATATTTTATGGAATTAAATTTGAATTCTCAATTAGTCTGTAAAAATATGTCGCATTGATCATAATCTACCCAATGACATCCATTTTGATATACTTTAACGTCTAAAATTTAATTTGACAATGGCGTGAATAAATAACAATATGCGTGAATCGACACCAGGTTGCGTGACTAAACAATATTGGTTGCGTGAATAAGCAACACTCTTACGTGAATAATGTCAATATGGCGTGAATAACGAAAATATGGCGTGAATAAATGAAAAAAATGCGTGAATTAGGTGTTCTTGTCACCTAACGTGACAAGAAACTTGATTCGAAATAAAAACCCTCATGAACTGCAATTTTGAAACTATTTTCATTAGATACACCTCTCATCTTCATTATGTGTGAAATAGGGCACACCCTCACTTTTGCACCACATAGTGAGAATGTAGAAGTTCAATGGCTACTCATTTTGCACAAGTTTTTAGTTTTTACACCGTCATGCAGAACTTGAAACTTGAACATCTTTTGTGCCAGAGACTTGATCATACAAAGAGTATTGAACGCATGCTGGTACAAAAATTCAGATATCTTAGATGAGGAAATCTGCAATGTGGAAGGGGGAATCTACCTAGCTAGCCACCACTGATGGGAGGTATGATAGCCAGCTCATCATTCTCTTTGACGACTGCAGAATCAGATGTGTACTCCTCATTCAGAGCGAGCACCATGCATTCTCTGATCTCTTCCAATGCGGGAAATCTATCTATGACTTCTTTCAAGCAGTCCCCTGCTGTACTGCCCGATGTCACCTCCAACAAAGTATCTGCCGTGCCAGTTAGGTCTCGAGCTCTGGCAAAGAACAATACCCTTACATTAACCGATGATGTTGTTGCATTCCCCACAGCTTTAGCATCGCCATTCTCAGTCTTTAGTTCCACAGCAGCCATAGATTCCAATTTGAGTACTATATGAAAGCTAGAACCTGCGAGTACTCTGTGAGGATTTCCCCAGAAATTTCAAAGCTTTAAGATAAAACAGATATGTTGAATCCAAAATCACAGAACCCCAATTCAGAGAATCCAGAAAGGTCAAAGAGATCGGCCAAAACCGAAAACTGCCTATGAACACTACTACAGACTTTCTAATCGAATTTGCTAATCTAGAATGACAATTCTGCAGATTCACGTTCAATGGAATGTAAATTGAGTCAAAGTCAGCAACTTTTGCTATGTTTTACCTCGGCGAAGAACACAGCTAGTTGCCAGTTGAAGCTCCCGGCGAGTTAGAAAGAAAACATTGGCGAAGAACCAGCAGCTTGCCGGATTGAAGCACCCGGCGAGTAGAAAACCCAGTAGCGCAGAGCAGAAAGGGGTCGAACAGTGTAAGAAAGCAGACGCCTTCTCTCACGGATGAGTCGCAGCAGATGCTTGGGAGCTGGAATGGCGATATCGATTAGGATTGGGGAAGATAAACACCATTGAGGCATTGACCGAGAATCAGCAGCATGATATCGTCAGCTGGCCCGGACCTTTTCAAGCCCAAATGAGCAGATCTAATGACGTACAGGATAAATGGGCTCAAGGCCTCATACAGTATGTAAGGAAGGAGAAGGTTTCATGGCTGGTGTTATTCTCAGTTCTTACCCATGTATTGGCATTGACTGTGACGATGGATTAGTCTTGGAGATAATCATCTCGCTGTAAGTGTGTTGCTATAGATCAAGTTCGAATTATCTACGCTCAACAGCGACAATGAACAGTTGTCGACCATGAATAGCTGAAGAGAAACGTAAAAAGTCCTACAAGACTAACTTTCTTACATTTCATTACATATAAATAGAACCATCTTTTGCCTGAAAGAGGAATTCACATTTACAGGACTTTGTATACAACAATACCCATGGGTGACAATCACCAGCTCCGCGAGACATCCAGCCCATATTAACATAAACCAGCAGAGACCCTTTCCATGAATGGCTAAAAAACTTAAGAAAATGGGAGCGGCCTAAAATCTTCTGTATCTTTGATGCTTTACTTGGTTCCTCTTTTCGAATTACCAAAAATCAGGGAGCGTCTTCTTTGACTTAGGTGCCAGGAGATACGCCGCTGGTGCTAGACAGTATAATGAACGCGCACACAACAGAGAGCGAGAAAACCGACACCCACGTATTCTCGGTGTACATCTCCATCGCATCCGTGAACGAAAACCGAGCACGGTTCTCTGCCCAGTTTCGTAGCCGGTCTGCCTCAGCTGCATACAGTGCTCTTCCCTAAATGATCCACAAAGGGAATGGTAAAATGAGTTTTCAATCGTGCTGATTTACTGATGTGAACTCTCTTTCGTGGATAAGTGCGATTTGACAACTAATTACCTGGTCATCGAACCACCGTTCACGCCTCAACCAAGCAGTGACTAGAGCAAGTAAGATTCTGGGAGGAGTCAAGTAGTTAATGGCCTTCCCCGAGCCTTTCACAACCCTCATCCGTGGGACCAAAGTCCTAGCTACGGTCTCGGGAAGCTCACAGATTATGTTGAACATTTGCTTGTTTTTCAGCGTTGATCCACTGCAGAAGAGACAGTAAGAGAAAAAGTTAGCAAACGAAGAAAGCGCGAGTCTCCAGAGACCAGGAATGTGTTAAATATAGAATCTCCATAGTGTTACCTCAAGAGAAGTTCCGTGAGGACCATGCCTGGGGAAGCTGTATGCACTCCCACTTTAGACTTTTTACTCTCCTTTAGAAGTGATGTTTGAAGCTGTCTCAGACCACACTTCGTAGCTCCATAACTACAAGTTCGGAAGGGAAAGGAGCGTCACTTACAACATTCAACCTCTATGTACACTGTTATTGTAGAAAACACAAAGCCATTGCTGTCTCGGTAGTAGTGTAAGCTTACACGGCGGTAAGAGGAGTGCTTGATCCCCCAGAGCCTGCACCATCCATGTTGAAAATGTGGCCTCCCTTAGGCTGAGTTTCCATCACTCGCATGGCTTCTCGGGTGCACAGAATTGATCCCACCAAATTTGTCGAGACAATCTACCAGAACCACATAATGTCAGTAAAACTATAACACACAGCATATGTACCCCTCTACATAGTGCAGTTTAATGCAGTTTCACTTACCTGTGTTACGTCTTCATCGCTGAACTGCAGCAAGGGTCTGAAACCTTTATTTGTCCCAGCATTGTTTATCTGATTTTTGTATCATTCGAAGTTGCCAGAATCAGTCACTCCATGTGTAAATAGAAGAACCAAATGATACACACATATGGAAGTGACAAGGTGACATTAGCTTGCGAGAATCATTACTCACCCATATGTTAACGGAACCAAATTCCCTGACTGCAAAATCAGCTAGTTTTTTCACATCAGATGGTTGACAGACGTCACAAGCTATACCAACAACTCTTGCATGGGAAAGATTCCGCTTTGATGAACCTTCTGATGAGACAATTCCTTCCTTGAGGTTGTCCTCCAACTCCTTCACTGTCATATCGACGGATTCCTGGCTGCTTTTTTTCAAGAACAAAGCAAGGGAAGATCATGAGTACCAATGACATAGCCAAGAAGCAAGATTTCTCCAGATTCAGAGATATCAATGAACAGACCTTCGTGATGCAATAACCACACGATCGCCAGACAGAAGAAATTCCCTAGCAAGTGCCTTCCCCAATCCCCTTGTGCTATTGGTTTTAACAAGCAGCATGAAGTGAATTGTGTAAGTCAACAAACATGGCTCATATCAGGAAACGATGAGGCTCAAAAGCATCTTGACGGCAGCAATGCCAAAGGGTATATATATATATATATATATATACCTTCCAGTTATGACAACATTACGAGGGCCGGCTCGACAATGTTCATCTAACACCATGTTAGCACCTGTCATTGTGCCAATTATGATTCCTCCAAGCCAGCTATACCAGATAAGATCATTCATTTGACCTTCTCCACCTTCACAAGCAAATTTGCAGGCAGTTGAACATTTCAGAAATAGCACGATATCGTCCTATACTAGAAAAGAAGAAAACAGAAACTTGAAACTAACCTGACAACTGAAAACCAGTAGCAAGTACCACTCCAGTGCTCATCATCGTCACAATGTATCTTCCAACGTGGATTGCAGCCTGGTTCATCAGATATACTGTTAGATTTACATATTAACCATAACCAAATCCACAATTTAGTCACTATTCAACAAAACTCACCGAAGAGAAAACTTCCTCCACTTGAGCAATTCCTCTACTGTACTCATCCTTTGATGGCAAATTCAACCTCCCAACCCCAGGAATCCACAACCCATCTCCCTTCTTCAACTTCCCTGCCTTTCCCCCCTTCAATTTCTCAACTTTCCCTTCTTCCCTTTCCCCATCATCGAATTCCCTCCCACCGCCACCATCTTCAGACCTGAAAGCCCTGCAGTGGCGCGAGATGGACTGCCCACCACCACCACCTCCCTTCTGGACACGAAAAAGCCCTGCTGCTGGTCTGAGGAACCTACAGCTTCCCTTCTGCCGCTCGCCGCAGCAAGCCGCCAATTGATCGACCGGGTAGACATGGAACTTAGCAATTGCAACGGCAGCCATTACACAAACCCAAATCCAAACCAAGATAGCATATAGTACGGCAAATCACTGGAAATTTTTTCTCGGATGAGTGTTTATCAGTTTCTGGATGGTACCTCGTTGCTTACTTATCCATTTTTAAAGTACGTCAAAATTCTTGAGGAAGAAATAAGGATTTACAATTGGACAAAATAGAAAAAAATATCTACGAGGAGAGTTGGAGTGGAATGGAAGAGGTGTAATATTGGATTTCTGTGAATGATTTTTAGGAGAGGTGGTGGGGGGGAGAAGGACTGTGATGGCCACACGTTAAAGCAAACCTCATCTGGTGGACACGTGGCGAAGTGGGTCTGTGTGATGGTGTCGATTTTCCCAGTTCTCTCTCTCTGCAGCTTGGAGGGATGACAAATGCGCAAAAGGACCAAAGTGGATGAAGAACTTGGCTCTCTGGTATTATAGTTGGCGACCCTTGCACGCTTTTATGCGATTAGTCGCTTGGTTACTGTGGTTGAGTGTGTTTAGGGATTATGGCATTGTGAAGTTGTACAGGAAAATCTTCTATCAAAGTTTAATTTGATAAGTTCAATATATTTAATGTTATAAAATGATTGAATCATAATCAAACTACAATTTCAATGCAAAATATTTTATTTGTTAATTGTTTCGGTACAACCTCCAGTACACCAATTTTTTGTTTGAAGTGAGCGAGTTTGTAAAAGTATCAAAGAACCATTCTACTTGGTCGTTTGAGTGTCTGAAATGACTCGGCTGCAATTATTGAGACAGATTTGTTAGACTGATTAGGATAACGTCTTCACATTATCATCACATAGAACCGTCGTCGCAATGGTAAAGAGTTATAAGGCAAGATCAAGTGGTTGATATATAAGGTATGAACACCAGCACTTCAATGGTAAGTTGTTTTCCATAGAGTCCCACAGTTTCTTAGTAGTTGTCTTTTGAGAGATGATCTTTATGATGCTCTTATAATCGAACTAAACAGATAGTTTTTATTTTTATATCATGTTCGTTGAAACCTTCATGTACACTATCGAGTACTCTTGTGTTTCTCTTTTCTCGACGAGAAAATCTAAAGGAAAGAGAATTGATTTTTGCACCCTTTTTTTTACTTCCAAACAAATGATTAACAAACACGATCCACACCTCTTTGAACAAAGTTCAAACAAGGGTGTTCGATGTTCTTGATGATCTACGAGGCAAACTAAATTACATTAACTCTACTCCTGTGGAGGTTCAGTGAGAGCTTCGAAAATACAACTATGGCTATGACTATATTTGCATATGAAAAGGTAAAGATAAAAGGATAAAATTTGATATTGTGTTGTCTGGTGTGATTTTGGCGAACCCTTTCTCTGTCATCTTCACCTTCTATTTATAGCCACCAGATGTAACTGCTTCGAGAAACTACTCCGCTGACGTGGAGTGACGGTTACTCTCTCAACTGCTCTGACGGTTACCTTGAAGTTGGATGTAGACCCTCTTCAGTCTTGGCCCCTCCTCTTGAGACCTCACTCCATGCTCTTGGTATCTCCTCCGTAGCTTTGCTTGTCTATAAAGAAAAATGGCTAAGGCATGCAAGGATGACCCATTGCCAGTTGACTCCCCCTTGTATGATCACCTCATGAGGGCGTGAGTTGGTAACCCCTCTGACCATGTCCCGGGGGTGCGGTATGGTGCCCACCCCCCTTACCACGTCCTGGGGTGCCTATATGGTGACCACCCTCCTTACCACGTCCTTGGGGTGGCTATATGGTGACCCCCCTCCCCCTCCCCCCCCCCCCCCCCCCAGGGTGGCGGTATGATGCCCACCTCCCTTACCACGTCCTGGGGGTGGCAGTATGGTGGCCACCCCCATGACACATCATGTGGTGGCTCCAACACTTAGCCAAATTTTGTCCTGGGGGTGGCAGTATGGTGGCCATCCCCATGACACATCATGTGGTGGCTCCAACACTTAGCCAAATTTTGGAATAGATGGCAAGAGTGGCGCGTATAGTGGCTTTGGTATGGGTGTCATGTGCCCAAAAATCCAATACACGTGACCCATTTTAATTGATTTTAATTGTTATAATTAAGTTGGCCATATAAAGTCATTTAATCCCTTGTATTTAATCAATGTGGTACAAGATGAATTTTAGTGGTAAACAGTTTCTCAACCTAGACAATATGCGTTTTCATTCCTCTTTCTCACTTGGCTCTCAAATCTCAATATTATGCAAATCTTTTGGTTACATTTCGCAATCAGAGCTCAAATACAACAATGAAAACTCAAACAAAGGACACACCGACAATTTTATTACTTTGGCAAGTCCAACCCAACTCAACAACTAAAACACAATCCCCATAATGGTACAAACTACAAAGTAGCTAATATGATCAACTACTTTGATTTCTATGAACATCTTTAATAAGGAGTTCTATAGCTCCAACATTTGGGGCTAAATTTCAAATTCTAGCCCACCAAGAGTGATTTGACTTTAATAAGAAGTTCCAAAGGTGCAAAGTTCTAGAATTTCACTTTAAATCATAATCTAATTTAGTGTAGATTTCGTCATGCTTGTCACATTGAGTTGTGTCATCAACTATTCATTCAGCTTTAGTAAAAAATGAATTGTGTCATCAACTATTCATTCAGCTTTAGTAAAAAATGAATTGTGTCATCAACTATTCATTCAGCTTTAATCATAATGAATTATGACATCAACTATCTAATAAACTTTAGTACGATCAAGTTGTGCCATTTCAACTTTGAACATGGGTACATAAGGGATCATCTCGGGTTTCTATGAATGAACCCTCAAATTTGGTCTTTGAACTTATCCATCATTCAACCTCCTTTCTTGCAAAAACCATTCATCCTTCATTCCTCTGTCCAAACATTACCCACCAAAACTATTTCGCCTTCATGGATTCCCCTAATAGAGAAGCTGATGAGAGGGAAAGAGAAGTTGATGATAAGCGATGAGTATGAGTGTCAATTTGAGCGTGAAAGCAAATATTAAGCACCGATTTGGACAGATTTTTTTCTTGTCCATTTTTGGCAGATTCCAAAAGGGTACCACCATGGATTTCAATTATTTTTTGAAATGCCATTTTTGTTGGATTTTGGAGGCTACAGATCATAGATTCAGCTTGTGGCGTCCTGGGGCTATTCTCCATCGATGATGAAGTCTATTACACGCCGATTTGGGCAGAATTTTTTTCAGAGGGCGTTTCATAATTTTTCGTGTGGTTTTTTGGAAAGGTCATTTTCCTAGAATTTTGAAAGCTACGAATCACCGGTTCAGCCTAAGCCTTTAATTTACCAATGATTATGTCTATTAAGCACCGATTTGGGCGAATTTTCCCAAGTCCATTTTTGGCTGATTCCAAAGGGGTACCATCACAGATTTCGGGCAATTTTTTCGAAAGAACATTTTCGTTGGATTTTGAGGCTGCATATCACGAATTTGGGCTGAGGCTATTCTCCACCGATGATGAAGTCTATTACTTGCCCATTTGGGCAGATTTTTCGGAGGGCATTTTTGTCATTTTTCACGCAATTTTTTGTGAAGTCTATTTTCCAAGGATAATGAAGGCTAAGGATCATGGATCGGTAAGGCTATCCTACACTGATTATTAAGCTCATTAAGCATTGATTTTGGCGGATTTTTTCGAGATTTATTTTTGACAAATTCCAAAGGGGTCACCATCACAAATTTCAGGCGATTTTTCGAAATGTCATTTTCGTTGGATTTTGTAGGCTATAGATCACAAATTTGCCCTAAGGCGGCCTGGGGCTAGGGATGGCAATGGGTCGGGTTGGGTCGAGTTTTGCCAAACCCAAAACCATGGGTTTATCTGTGAAAAAAACTCGGGGTAAAACCCAGTGGGTTTGAAAAACTCAAACCCAACCCGTTGGGTATCAGCGGGTTCATGGTACCCATGGGTTTTTATCGTAAAAAATTTACAATAACAAGTTCCTATAAAAATAAAAGTCAAATATCAATCTCTCAATACAAATTATCCATATATAAAACACCATTCTAGAAAATTCAAGCAAATCACATATTTAACCATACAAATTGTTCAACACTAATGTAGAAAACTCAAGAAAATTTACGCTTTGTTTGGGAAGGAGGGGTAAGGGCTGGGGGGCGTAAATGGCAGGGGGAAGTGGGGAACCCGAGGAAGAAGCCCTCGTTTGGATAGTTTGGAACAGTTCTGGGAGTGGGCAAACTAGGGGTTTTTTCACTGTTTTAACTTGCCCCCCAAATTGGGACGGAAGAGGAGAGAGAAAAGGAAAAGCTGAAAGTGGAGAGAGAGAAACACAATTATTTCTGCAGGCTCTCTTCCTTCTCCCACTGCAATCTTTCTCCCGCCAGCTCTGCATCCTTCTTCCAAAATAATAAATCAGAAGAAGTGTGTAAATTATGTTAGAATTAATCCAAACCCAGAAATTAGGTAAGCGCCCTATTGCGAACTCCGATTTGAACCTCCGACAAGAAACCCGTCGTCCCGATTGCCAACTCCGACATAACCCCAGTCCTTCGGTTTGATTTCCACCTCCAACAAGAACACGAATCCTCCGGTTTTTCTTCGCAAAACATAACTAGATAAATCCCCCGCATGCAAATCTGCTCCACTAGCTGCTTACCGACGTAAAAATCAGCCGCTGCTTCGTGTCCCATATCTATGGAGATTGAGGAGAGGGAGGGAGGGAGAGAGAGAGAGAGAGAGAGCAGGCGGAGCTGAGTGTGAGAGAGATGGAAAAGAATTGGAATCTAGAACCAGATGGGAAAGAGAGGATTTGCCGTGAAATGGAATTTGGGTGTGGTGGAGGTTGGTTTTAATTTTTAATTGATATATATGAATAACTGTATATAATAATTTATTTAATAATTTTCTATTAATTTATTCATATATAATATTATAATTAATATATCACACACCCCAAATATGCACCCTCCTACTTTTTCTCCCAAACAACAATTTACGCCTCAATTTGCACCCTCCTTCAATTTGTACCCCCTTTGATTTGCACCTCAATTTGCACCCCCTTTCAATTTGCACCCTCCTAGTTGCCAAACAGAGCGTTAAGCAAATCACAAATTATCCATAAACAACATGATTAACTGAAAGCTTCTTCCTCCTTGTATATTAAGATTCTTCACTCGATAATATCAACTTCATTCTAGACAATTAGAAAGAAAAAATAGACATGTCTCCACAAACGTAAAAAGATTAATTGTTTAGAATATTAAATATACCGGAAAAATTAATTATATGGGTGTGAGCGGGTACCCATGGGGCTTTACCTAAACCCATACTC